TTTTCTTAGTTTTCTCTTTGTTTATTATTTGTGTCTCTGTTCTGAGTATTTGTTTAGTGGTTACCATGAGAGTTGTATAAAAAATCTCATAGATGCGATAATGCGCTTTCTGATAGCCTCTTATTTTCTTAGACTAAGCCAATTCCATCCCTTTTCTCTTCCCCTTTTTAGTTACTCTTGTCACAACTTATTCCATCTTGTGTTGTGAGTTTGTAGTTAAAGTGACAGGATTATATTTATTTTTTGATGTTTTCCTTCCCTTTATCTTTAATTTTATAATTAAGTGTTTCCTAACCTGTTCTGATAGAGAGCTGCAATTTTCTGATTTGTCTACCTGTTTATCTATTTGCTCAGGGCTTTATAACCCCTCTCTTTTTCTTTTCTTTTTTTTTTTCCAGGTGTGAGGGCCTTCTTGAGCATTTCTTGGGGAGGGGGGAGGTCTTGTGATGAACTCCCTTAGATTTTGTTTATCTGGAAAAATTTTTATTTCTCCATCATATCTGAAGGATACTTTTGCTGGATAGAGTATTCTTGGCTGAAAGGTTTTGTCTTTCAGAATTTTGAAGCTATCATTCCACTTTCTCCTAGCCTGTAAGGTTTTTGCTGAGAAATCCCCGGAAAGCCTGATAGGAGTTCCTTTGTAAGTTACTTTCTTCTGCCTTGCTGCTTTTAATATTTTTTCTTTGTCATTCACTTTTACCAGCTTTACTGCTATATACCTTGGAGAAGGTCTTTTGACATTGATATAATTAATTAGGAGTTCTAATAGTTTCTTTCACTTGTATTTCCAGCTCCTTTCCCAGGTTTGGAAAGTTCTCAGCTATTATTTCTTTGAACAGACTTTCTGTTCCATTCTTCTCTTCTCCTTTTGGCATACCTGTAATCCTTAGGTTACATTTCCTAATTGAGTTGGATATTTCTCAAAGAACTTCTTCATTTCTTTTTAGTCATAGTTCTCTCTCCTCCTCCATTTGAAGCATTTCTGTATTTCTGTCCTCCAACCTGCTAATTCTGTCCTCCGTAAATCAGCTCTGTTATTCAGGGATTCCAGATTTTTCTTTATCTCATCCATTGTTTTTTTATCTCCAACATTTCTGATTGGTTTTTCTTTATAGTTTCATTTTCTTTTGTGAAGAAGTTTCTGATTTCATTGAACCATCTATCTGTATTTTCTGGTAAGTCGTCGAATTTTTTTATGATAGCTATTTTGAATTCTTTGTCATTTAGATTATAAGTTCCTGTGCCTTCAGCATTGATTTCAGGGTTCTTGTTTTCCTTCTGGTCTGGAGTATTAATATATTTTTTATCCTGTTTGATAGCATGGATTTGTGCCTCTGTATAGTGATAGTATCTGGTTGCAGCTTCCACCTGCCGCCACTAGGGTGGGCGCTGTGCATTCTGAGCCTGCCACAATCCATGGCTCCCTTGCTCATAGCTGCTGCTTTTCTATCATATGTGCAGGTTCTCTGGCTGACAGGCTGAGCTGGAGTGCTAGGCAGGGGGAGGGACGCTTTCTTTCACATGCACGCTCCTTGGGGCTTCTCATTCTGCCCTCACTTTCTGCTCTCCTGGGGTGCTGGCTTGATGAAGACAACCTGGCAATAGCTTAGCCGCCTATGTATGGGGCTTTCCCATGGGGTTTGAGGGAACTTGGAGAGTGAAGGTGTTCCTGCGGAGAGCCACCCCCCTCCCTCTGCTCCTGTCAGAGCTGTGTGCAGTCCCAGGGTCACTGCCATTGGAGAAGGAGAGGAGAACCCCTTACCTCCTTCCACTTCCTCCTGGGGGTCCAGCATGTCCATCTTCGGGCGTATGGCTGTGTGGGTCTCTCACATGTCTTTTGTGTTGTGTGAATGTTCTCTGTTGGTATATGAATGTCCTTTTTGTTGTATCTTCGAGGGGAGAGTCTAAGGGAAGCGCTCACTCCGCCATGTTACTGACATCACTCCTCCTGAGAAACTAGACATACAAATTCAGACAATCACAGAAATTTCTTCTAATTGGTGACCAGTGACAATATCAGTCTGGAGTCCATTTCTTTGATCTCCCCTTGCCCTCAGTGTACTGGGGCCAGTTTCTAGTTTCACCCAGGGAACTCCTGAGGTTGTGAACCAACAAGCAGGGAGATGATGGGCTGGCATGTGCTGGGCATCGAGGGCAGCTCAGAGAATCTGCTTTATGTATTTTGAGACTGTTATTACTTGCCAAAAAATTTGGGATTGTGATATATTCATGGTGGGGATTGTGACGGATGCATGGTGGATCAACTCAACATTATGAAACATTCCTCTTTTTCTTTTTAATTTCTGGTGATGCTTCTTATTTTAAAGTCTATTTTGCCTGATAGCTGGGGCAGCTTTTTGGGTTAGAATATTCATAATGTATCTTTTTCCATCATTTTTCTTTCAGCCTTCTCTGTCCTTATATTTAATGTATGTTTTTTGTAAGTACAATATAGTTAAGTGCTGCTCCCTATCCCTACTCCTGTCTTTTATTTGCATATTTAATTTGTTTATAGTTAAGTAATTGCTGATACTTCTGGGATTAGGTCTAAATCTCACCGTTTTCTATTTGTCTTATCTATTATTTGCTGCTTTTTTCTCATATTCTTTGGATTAATTATACTTTTAAAAATAATAATTCCATGTTTTTTAACTCCTTTATTCCCTTTTTATAGTTTTTAAATTATTCTTTCCTTGGTTGCTTTATTATGACATAACTTCAAAACGTATTATATGAATAATAATTTAATGCTTTACCACAGCCTGGGTAATACAGGGACTTTAGAAAATTAGTGTCACTTACCCCTTTCTGCTTTTTTTGTCATGTGCTTTAACTTTGTATTTTGAACACCACAAGAGATTCCTATTATTGTTTCATTAAGTCAGTATTCGTTTAGACTTACCTTTATTTACCCTTGTGGAGCTCTTCATTCTTTCCTGCAGTTCCTTGCTTCTTTGTGGATCTTTTTCCTTCTGCCTAATGAATCTGAGAGAAGTCAATTCTGTCAGATTTTCTTTGTTGGAAAGTATCTTTGTTTCACAATCATTTCTGCATCATCTTTCCACTAAGTATAGAATTTTAAGTTATCAGCTATTTGTTGACATTTGGCATGTTAGAGATGTCATTTCATTGTCTTTTTATTTCCATTGTTTCTGTTGAAATGTCAGCTCTCAGCCTTATTGTACTTACTTGAGAGTAATGTGTCTTTCTAAAGATTTTTGTCTTAGGTTTACAGCAATTTTACTGTGCTATGACACATCAGAACTTGTGGACTTCTTTGTATTTATCCTCCTTGGGACTTATAGGGCTTCATGAATCTGTGGCTAGATGTCTCTTGTCAGTTTTGAAAGTCTTTGGTCAGTATCTATAAATACTGCCTCTGTCACAGTGTTTTCTCCTCTTCTCCCATCACCTTGATTCAGTCTAGTATTAAGACGATTGTAGGCTGTGTTTCAGTATTAAAACTGGTCCTTTTCATTTTTGTCCTTACACTAGGTCATATCCCTTGAGGGGTCTCAACTGAAAGCCTTGTGTATTTACCAGAACCTCTTTTTCAGCAGGCCCTCAACTCCAGTTTTTTTGTTTCAACACTATGAGACTGCTGAAGTCTCTGCTTCATTCTTTATCATCTTTCTTCTTGGCTGCTAGGTCTCTTGCTTCTTATAGCTTAGGCATTGGCAGATGCCTTGAGAAGAAAAGCAGTGAAGAATGTTCAGCTCACTCCATTGCTTTTCCCTTCTCTTCATCATCTTGGCCCCTCATGTCCTAAGTATCTTGGTTGCTCTTTGATTCCTTTAAAAAGCTGGGCTGTTGGTTTTTTTTTTGATTTTTTTTGTGTTTTATTCAGTTTTCATAGTTATTTTTGAGAGGAGGTTGGTTTGATACATGCTGCTGTATTTTAGCTGGGGTGTATGCAAAGTTATCCTCTTTAAATCTTTTTCACCTTTTGTATTTTCATTTGGTGAAGAGTAACTAGGTTTAAATGAGACAGCTTGACTAAAGAATTTGGTACAGGATGTGTTCATGTGCTTCATTCCTCTCATGTCAAATAAAAAGCAAATTTGAAAAAGTGAGAAATAAATTTCCTACCTTACTTGCCCTGTAGCCCATAGGCACAGGCTTGTTTACTGAGTAAATACCCTAAAATGTTGCTACGTTTGTGTAGTAGAAATATAACTACCTTTTTTAGCATGAGAGATACTTGAGGAACAAACCAAAAACAGATGTTAAGACTATAGTATTTTTTTCTTGTTGTTTTCAGTTTTTGTTGATTGAGGTATATCTTGAAATATATTTTTAGAGCCTCTGAATCTAAATGTGAAAAATTATATATCTGTCAAGAACTTGGATTTTTTTGTGTGCCAAGGTGTCTATTGTTTCTATCTCAGAATTCATGTAAACAGTAACATTATTAAACCATGTCTCAGTTCGTTTGTCTGTAAAATGGCAATGATTGTATTACCTTAGCTGAAAGGATTATTTAAAGGACTAAATACTATGTATTAGTTTGCTTGGACTGCAGTTACAAAATATCATAGATTGGGTAGGTTAAACAAGAAAATATGTCTCACAGTTCTGGAGGCTGGAAAGTCCAAGATCAAGGTTCCAGCCAATTCGGTTTCTGCCAAGAGCTCTTTTCCAGGCTTGCAGATGGCTGCCTTCTCTCTGTGTCCTCACCTGGCCTTTCCTCAGTGTGTGCTCATAGGGAGAAAGAAACCTTTCTTCCTCTTCTTATAAAGCCACCAATCCTATCAGATTATGACCCCACCCTCATGATCTCATTTAACTTTAATTACTTCCTTAGAGGCACCATCTCCAAATACAGTCACCTTGGGGGTTGGGACTTCAACTTGAGTTTTAGGGGGGTCATAATTCTCTCCATAGCAACTGTAATACATAAAAGCACTTAAAATAGTTCCTGGCCCATAGTAATTGTTTAATAAATTGTGGTTTTGTGGTACAGATGATTTAAAAGATTTTTTCCCTTTTTTCTCTTCTAGGTGCTGACCTTGGCTTACTTTTTGAAACACTAGGAATGGTAGTTTCTACTCTTCAGGACCTCAAAACTAAGGAGCTAAGGAGAACCCTACGTAAATAGAGTGAAGTCTGTTCCATTGTCCTTTGCATTCGGAGACTCCTTTATTTTACCAAATACAAAGATTCTCTAACCAGTGCAGTCATTATGAACGTGACAAGTTTATTTTCCTTCACAAGTCCAGCTGTGAAGAGACTTCTTGGGTGGAAACAGGGTGATGAAGAAGAAAAATGGGCAGAGAAAGCTGTTGATGCTTTGGTGAAAAAACTGAAGAAAAAGAAAGGTGCCATGGAGGAACTGGAAAAGGCCTTGAGCTGCCCGGGGCAGCCGAGTAACTGTGTCACCATTCCCCGCTCTCTGGACGGCAGGCTGCAGGTTTCCCACCGGAAGGGGCTGCCTCACGTCATCTACTGCCGGGTTTGGCGCTGGCCTGACCTTCAGAGCCACCATGAACTAAAACCACTGGAATGCTGTGAGTTCCCTTTTGGTTCCAAGCAGAAGGAGGTGTGCATCAATCCTTACCACTATAAGCGGGTAGAAAGCCCTGGTAAGTGAGTCCTTTTATATTGATGCATTGAGCAGATTCTAGTTGTGTAAGATATCAAAATAGTCCCTTTCCATGTTTTTAGTTGTAATTTTTAAATAATTAGGGGGAAATAGCATAGGTTTCTCAGCCCTTGAGTGTTCTAACAACTTAGTCCTCTGTAGTTAACTGTATTTCTTAGGAGCAGGGCTATGAAGATTGTCATAGTGGTGCTGATACCTCTAAGTTGTAACAAATTATTTTCTTTCTATATTTAGTTTTTGTGTTTCCCATTGGTTCTGTGCATTTCTTTAGACAAATTTAGCTAAGATTTTATTTCAAGGGAAGAAAATTAGGAAAGGAAAGAAGCATGGTGTTGTCATCCACATACTTCAGGGAAATACATCTTGAGGGCACTTGCCAGTGACCTGTACCACTTTGTCCTTAACAATAGCACCTTTTATCATCTCTGGTGGAATTTTGCTGTGGCGTGTTATTCCCTCTGGAGGGTCTGAAGGAATTATGTTCTGCCATGGAATCATTTCATACTATTGCTTTATTAGATACTCCTAGTTTTGACATGTATGACGTTTTGGGGGGAAGTATAGTAAAGGATATACTTTAAAATTTGTATGGTTTTGCCCTCAGATTAAAATCCACATTTTAGACAGTTGCACCAGTTGGAAAGTGATTAGGCAATGTTAAGCACTTAAATATCTCATTCTCAGTTTGGAACCAATTTTGTTGATAGATTACTTATTAATAGCTACTGGTTACAAGGGTTCCAGTGAGGCTGGGCGTTAGAATCGCATGGCTCCCCTCCCAGAACTTCTGATTCTGGCATCGCCCAGTCCCTGTGTTTTTAACAAGTACTTCAAGTGGTGCTGATGTAGCTATTGGGGTTTGGGAACTACTAAGTTAGATCATGTAGTAACATGGTTCTCAGATAAAAGGCATTATGGGTTTTCTAAGAATATTTAAGACATACAGAAAGAGTTTAAAGACCAGGGAATAATATAATACATCTTTGTATCCACCGCCCAGTTTAAGAAATCAAAGATTTCAAGTAAAACTGAAACTCTAGCTTCTGTCTCTCCGATCCAGTTGCCTTCAGTAACTACTCTTCTGAATTTGATGATTAGAATTTGATGTTTATCATTCTCATGCACGCTTTTATACTATTATTACATATATATGAATCTATGACAATATGTGATATTTTGTATGTTTAAAAGTATTATATAATGATATTGGAGTATCCTACAACTTGTTATATTCATTCAACATTATGTTTTTGTGATTTCTATATTATATACTTTAGGATTACCTTGTCAAGTTCTGTGAAAAATCCTCTGGAGATTTTATTGGGATTTCATTGATTTCATTTGGCAGAGGATTGACATAGTTATGCTCTAGTGCATAATATTTTTCTAAATTTATTTAGGTCTTTTTCTTTAAGTTTCCTCCATAAAATTCTTGTACATCTTTTGTTAGATTTATTACTAGATAACGGTTTGGTTTTTATTGTATCCTTTTTAAAGTTACACTTTGTTACAGTTGTTCTTGGCTAGGACTGCGCTTGCTTTTTTTCCAGCAACTTTGCTAAATTCTCCTTATTCTAATATAGATATTCTTTACTGCTTGTTATCCCTGCTATGATGTAAATTTAAAGAAAAAACAACTCAACAAGAGATACGTGGTCTTCTTTTAGCCTGAAATTGAGATGGAGCTAAGAGTTTCAGAGAATAAAAAGTAGTGTATAAGTAATACGTACAAACAAGATTATCTAGGTATGTGTTTTTTTGATCCTCATGATAATTTTAAGAGGTATGTAGGGAAGATTCTAATCCGACTTCACAAGCAACGAGACTGAGATCCCGATAAATTAAGCGACCTGTGTGCCAGACAACTAAGATTCACTATTTAGAAAACACGGTGGATGTATTTTCTCTGCCCCCCCACCCCACCCCCCAGCCATGTGTATTATTAACATCTCAGCTTTTAGCAGCTAGCACAGTTGAGTAAATTTTTGCTGTTAAATGAAAATACTAATTTTAATTTCTCTGTATGGTCATTTGTCCATTTTTTAGAGCTGAGTTTTCGGTCTATACCCTTTGACTATCGTCTTCCCTTCTTTGTTCATTTCATTGCTGTTACTGACACAAGATGAGAAGTTTTTTAAAAAGTTAATACTGAAATGATTTTGTTACTCTTAATAACTTACATGTAAAAGGTTTGATAGGGAGGAGGTGGAGAACCAGCTAAAATAAGACATTTGGAGCTTCCACGTATGTCATTTCATCCTCCCCTTTAGCCAAGAATCTGATGAGCCGTGCATAGAACAGTTCTAAAAAACTTTGAGGCTGAGGCCAAGATCTGTTGAATTTGAACATACCAGGATTTTACTTATATTTTTCATATTATGAAGTGGCTGATGTGGGAATAAGAACACATGGATTTTTTCCAGAAACCACTGTGAAGCTGCCCCTGCATCTCGAGGGGAGAAGCCCCACTAAATCAGAGCTCAAGGGGGCCTCAGCCCCTCACTCTCCCACAGTCGAGTAGACATTTGCCCTCTGTAATGCAGCATGGAACACAGCTGGTTGTTGTTTCTGTGAAATAGGGAAAAAGGGGTCTGGAGTTCTAAGCTGCAGATACATAGCTCAACACTGAATTACTTTGAACTGTGGAACTATATTACCTCAGATAAATTATTCCAAAGACCAGCTGAGCAGCTCAACCATCAGACGGTGAGGGCTCACAAACTTGGTGTTTTCTGCTGGTCCCTTGTTGAGATCTCTAGAGAAAAATTCAACAAAAATTGAGAGCCTTTAGAAGGCTTAGAGTAGTGGTTTTCAAAGTGTGTGGTCCCCAGACCAGCCGCATCAGCATCACCTGGGAACTTATTAGAAATGCAAGTTTTTAGACCCCTCCACAGACCGACTGAATCCAGTTCTGGGGATGGAGCCAGCAGTCTGTTTTGACAAGCTCTCGGGTGATTCTGATGCAGGCTAACGTTTGAGCACCACTGGTTTGAGGTCTCCAGGCCAGTCATCCAGTCCCATTGACTAGATGAAGTTGTCTGTTACTGAAAAGAGATGTTAATGAGTTAGTCTTTGAAATCGTTCATTGTTTTGAACTTTGTATATTCTGTTACAGGTATAAAATTGACTTGCTCTTTCTAGAATTTCCCTTCTTGCTGATATTCATTAAGATTAGTACTCTGATAGAATGTGATATAATTATTCTTTTGGGTATCTTTTGCTATCTCTGTTTCTTTGGCCAAAAACAATTTTATGGATTAAAGTAATTGTAGTTTTTCTTTAACCTATGCCATTAATTCTGTTATAAATGACAGAGTCTGAAAATTGTAGTGGGGGAAAAAACCGAAAGTTCTGGAAACACTTTGCAACAACTTGTATTCATCATAGTTAACAATGGCGAAGAGTGTGAGCCGGGAGGAACCTTCCTTTGGTGAAAGGACCTCTACCTGACCATTACTGAAAAATGCATCTTTGGGAAAGTAGGAAATGTTAAGAATTTCTTTTTCTGCAAGTGTGTGGACAGTTATAGGAAAGAGAAAGTTTGCGCAGCTTCTGAAGACTGTGACCCTGCTGATGATGTAACAGGTGACTGTTTGCTTGGACTTTTAGTAGCCTTTAGAGTCAAGGCTGCTTATTAGTGGTTGGGTTAAATGTAGGTTTTCTTTTGCTTTGCCAAAGTAAATGCTGACAGTGGCGGAGTAAGTCATGCAACTGTGGGATTGAGAAGACCATTCAGCTGCTATCTGCTGCTATTAAAATGCCTTCATGGAGACTTCCTGTCATTTGACCTTTTTTTTCTTTTTTTATGTTTTTCACATGGTTCTTGAAAATTATCTTCCGTACTTTGAACTTAATCAACTTAAACGGCTGTATTAAACTTGAGCTTCCAATTCTGAGATTTCAGTTTTGATCTTTAAACACCCTTCCAGCTGCTTTCATTTTCAGCAGGATGGCTCCCAGCGGTTTAAAATTAAAATACACCTAAAATCCTCTTCACCTGTCAACTGAATGCGAGTTTTGACTCTCTCGCTGCCTCAGGCACCATGTAATTCGTGGCTTGGTAAATTTTACCTTAAAAAAGAAAGTCTTAGAATTATAGAAATGGAGAATGGATTGGTGGTTGCCAGAGGCTGAGGAGGGGCTGGGGGGCAGGAGGGGAGCGGGTGTGGCTGTAGAAGGGAGGGATCCCTGAGTTGATGGAAAGTTTCCATATCTCGGCTGTATCAGTGTCAATATTCTGATTGCGATGTTATTCTATAGTTTTGCAAGATATTACCATTGGAGAAAACTAGGTAAAGTGTAGGCAGGATTTCTCTGTATTATTTCTCACGGCTGCATGTGAATCTACAATGTAAAAAATAGTGATCTGTGAAAAGGCAGCTAGTTCAGTTCACGACTCAAACAGTCACACTGCTGCTTTTCCTCAGGACAACCATTGTACTTTGGTGTGCAGCAGAGGTGCTCTATGCGAACTTCTTATGTCTATGCGAACTTCTTATTTTGTCACAGAATATTAGAAAGATGTATACTCAAGGGTCAAGATTTAGTAAGATTAATATTTTTAAAAGCAAAAAGCACATTTTTTAAAATGTTTCTTCATACTGTGAATGTGTTTTTACTTGAGCCAATGATGACAAAACCTTCTCTCTAACAATGTTTTTGATTTTTGTCTTTAAGTCTTGTGTTAGTGTATCCATTCAGAGATTGGGGTGGGGGAGTATTGTCTTTGCTTTCAGGTTTATCTGAATGGTGACATACGGGAATCTGACAACTGAAGTTGTAAGCCAGATATCAAGATGTGATCTTCACAAGGGTTTTGAAGATTTGGGACTAATTAGCAACATTAGCTATAAAAATTAAAACAAAGCATTATGACCTGTGTATTAGGGTTCTCCAGAGAAACAGAACCGATAAGAGATTTATCATAGGAATTGGCTCACAAAAGTTGGAAGGCTGAGAAGTCCCACAATCTGCTGTCTG